TCCTTTTAATAGGATTCTGCTTGTAGCGATGAGGGCAATTTGGTCTAATGTGTCATGGATCTCCACAAATAAAACATTTGCAATGTCTTTCTTTTGTGGGTAAAGTGTTTACCTTATTATCTTTGTCTTTATTATCCTTGTTATCTTTATTTATTTTTTGCTTTTTATACTAAGGCCGCTTCCTGAATTGCCTAGGGCTGAATTGCGTAGGGTTAGTTTTGACATATGGTTTTTTATTACGAAAGTTCTTGTAGGTCTTACTTCTGCGTAGATTATATTTTTTAGGTTTATTGCGTTTATAATTATAATTTTTTTGAGGCATACAACCATATTGGGGTGGAAAATCTATTTGTCTGCACATATAATAAAATTATTTTTTGATTTATTGGGATTCTTTACGTTGTCTACATTTTGCTTTTAACATGTTATACACATGATTAACTCTATTTTCTATGGTTAATGTATCGCGTCTTGGATTTTCTAACCATTTTTCCCATATTTTAGTTACTACACTTCTGAATAACTTCTGAAGATACCTATCGAGTAAGGTTTTATCTCCTTTTTTACCAGTGGCTGCAAAATACTCAAAAAACTTATTGGTATAGTCTTTAATGTATCTAAAGTCACAAATCTGCAATAATTCTAAATTACGTAAAGCTTTATTTTGTTTTATTAGGGTGTCATCTAATAATCTATCTTCGCCAACTAATACCTTTTTGATTAGGTTGGTAAAACCTTGAATTGTAAAATTATCTCGTAAGAGGGCATAATCATTGGGATAAGTTACTTTATAAGACTGCCACCAGTCATGAATGGTTCCTCTTAATAAGGTTTCACAATAGGTTAGGACTTGAGTTCTATTGTCAAAATTGATCAAAATAAATTGTCTAATACAATCTTGTTCCTAATTTTCGATTACTTTTGCCCAATCTTGGGGATCGTGTCTTGCTATGTCTAATATTGTTCATGCTTGTTCTGCTGGTATATTATCATATTGTCTACGATATTGTGTTAATGTGTACATATCTGGTATATTTTTATTTTTTACATAAGTTTCACTTGAGGGATTTAATCTTTGTCCAGTAGTATAGTCGTCATTTATGGTATTACTACCCGAGGCGTTAGTCTTTCGTTGGTCAGTCATTTCTTGATCAATTGATTGATATTCTGATCCTTCTGGTGCTTTTCCGTCTCTATGTTCTATTACATTTAACTCTTCTTTTACTGTGTTTAACTCTGATGCTGTATAGAAGGATTCAAATCCTACACTTAGAATATTTTTCTTAATATCATCACTATTTCTTTGCCCTAAGTAAATACTTTCTATAAGTTTGTATTTAGGTTTTGGATACTTGTCTTGCAACGGTTCTAACTCTAAATTATCAAAATCGTACATTATTTTATCTAAAATTTCATCTTCCAATCTATCATAAAGGACATTTATCTCTTCGGGATTCTCTATTTCTATCAGTGTAGTTAAAAAATCTTCTTGGGTATCATCTACTAAATTGTTTTGTCTTTTATAATTACTAAACCTTATACTAGTTTCTCCGCTATTTGAAACATATATCATATTATTTTCGGGAATCTTTTTAGGTGTAGTAGTAAGTTTAGGTAATTTTCATTCTGTTCCTTCATATGTAATACTACTTACTTTTCTAGCTTCTATCATCTGGACATATTTGTTACTAAAAGGTTTAACTATTTCACTAAATTGGGCTTTAAATTTTAAGTTATACTGATTAACTTATTTTCCCATAAATAAAGTATTAACTAATAGATTTTCAAATTGTCCTGTCATATTGTATCCTTTTGTAGATATAGCTATCTTAATATGTTTACTGAATTCTCTAGTAGTCATTGTGTAGTTGGGAATACATCCTACTAGTGCTGTATTGTCGGCTAAATCTATTTTGACGCTGGCTATTTGTGCCTATTGATGGTTATTCCATCGGTCATCATAAATATAAGCAAGTGCTCTAGTTCCTATTTCTGCTCTGTTTAATCCTACTAATCCTATCATTATGACGCCTAAATGCATGAGTTCTAAATTATTATCATTTAATTCTTGACATGCTTCGGGTGTTATAAGGTCTAAAATAACTTGATTATTAACTGCACTTATTTTTCTTTGGCTAAAATAATTATATATCTTGCTCTGGAATTCTAATAAATTATTGGAATAAAGATTAACTTTATTTTTTTACCTTTTTCATTCCTTATTCTATATATTTTTTAGCATCATATTCATTATCATATAGATCTTCTACTCTCATTATTTCTTTGGCTTTTCTAAGGATAATGGCCATTATGGTATTCGCTTATGAGGTTGAGGTTGTAGTAAATTTACACGCTTGGTTGTTGCAGGGAAGGACTGATTATTGGTCGACAACTTAATTTCCTTTATTTTTTCTGATAATTCGGACAATTCTTTAGAAGATTATCTGGGAATACTTTCTTGTATTACTTCTAATCTTTCTTCAAACTTATTAACCTTATCAGATAACTGGAGTAATAACTGAATTAAAAAGTTATTTTGTCTAATATGTATATTAGTTGATTGTATGTCTGTTTTAAAACTTGTAAATACTATGGACTTTAATCAATTTTGTAAAGTTCAGCTAACGCAGTTAGATAATCGGGATTACTAATACTTATAAAATTATTATAATAACCTTTGAATGTCGCTTTTGAGGGATTTTAAGTAGTCTATAATTATTTTTTGATTTTCAGTAATATTTTTGATATCACTATTGATATCTAAATTATTTTGACTAAAATTCTGTATTACTTGTTCTTTAATATAATCAAGATTCTCTCCGAGTTGTTTTCTAGAAGTATTTAAATTATTAAGGTCTATTCTATTCATAAACTAAAATCGTTATTGTCTAACTTCTAAAATATTTTATATTAATATAATTCTATATCTAAGTTCTTCGATTCTTCTTTGTAAACTATGTGTTGTGTCTCCTAATTCTATTGATATATAGCAGTTCCTAATTGCTGTTTGACAAAATTCTAAGACTTGAACAAGTTGTTCTTTGGGTAAATTGTGCATAAAGTAAATTTCTAGGGATGAAAATATAATTTTAACTTACTAAAAGGGTTAAATAAAGTGCCTTGACTTTTAATTCATGTTTTCGTAAATATGTAAACTATATTTATGTAATGGTAATATATCTATGCTAATACCATTTATATGTAATTTTTCCTTATCCCCATGTTGATTTATAGGAGTCTAAAATGCAAGAAGTCGTCTATGTACACCAAAAAGTAAAATAGAAGTGTGATAGCTGAATTTTTTTTAAGATTTTAATTTATAATTTCACTTTTGAATTTGTTTTAGTGGAGGTGTAGTTGTATTGGTGTGTTATATGCTACTAATTTATATATATATTGGTGTGTTGTTTGATGGAAGGTGGAGAATGTGATAGAGATGGAAGTAGAAAGTCGTTGCCGAATTGATGGGTTGGTTTGATTTGGTGATGTAATGATTAATTTTATTTTTTACTTTTTGACCGAAGTTTTGTGGCTGAGCTTTGCAGAGATAAGAGGGAGCATCGAAATAGGAAGGGAAATCAAGAAAAAGTTATTTTTGACGGGTCCACCTGAATAATGTTTTATGGGTTTGAATTTCTGGTTTTGTTGCTTTGATTTATAATAATATATGTCAGATGGAAGGGATGAAAGAATGGTGATGATTTGACGTGGAGCTTACGAAATAGAATGTTTTTTGGCCAAAAGTCTTGGCTCAAGGCTATTCACGTGGGCCGAATGGCTGATGTTGTAAAAGTGATATATATAAAGTAATGTAAATGAAATGACATGGGTAAGTAAGAGATAAGGTGCTGAGCCGTATTGGGATATGGTGTGTATTGGGATATGGTGTCGCTGGAAGTTTATATAACTAGTGTTTAGTGAACTGATGGGTATCGAAAGAAAGAGAGCAAGAAGATAGAAAAAACCTCAAGAGTTTGAGAAGAGAGAGAAAGAGAGAGAATCGAGAGTTTGCATAAGAGGCCGGGAGTTTGAGGCTTTGATGATTCAGTGAGAAATTTTTTTATTTTTTAGTGTAGGATTTTTTATATCTTGAATGGTTTAGAGTGTTTTGGTTTCAATAGTTTTTATTAAATATTTTACTTAAATGTATATGTATTTTGTTTATATATTCACATGTATATATTTATTTTGTGAAGTTTTTTTTTTTTGTTAAACCTCTATGAAATTCGTGTTATGATTTTTTTTACAGGGATTTTTTGTCTCACCACTCTCCAGTTTTAGGTATTGAAGATGAACAAGAATTGTTAGTTTCGAGTTTAGGTAGAAGAGTCAGCGTTGCAGGATTTATTTTATTTATTTGAAGAATTTTTGTGTATATTTGAGGAAATTGACTTTGTATAAAAGAGGGGCAATTTTTTTATGATCTTGGGTGTATTATGATGCATTTAGATTTGAATGAATTGAGGATTTTATTGGGATTTTTGGATCGTGACAAGAAGCGAGAGTGAGAGAAGGGGAAAGAATAGGAAAAAAAGAATGGAAAAGTAGAAAAAAGGAAGATTAGTGTCTTATTTTGTTTCTTGGACTAATTTATTTTTATTTATTTTTGACAATTATTTCTTGGACTAATCTTAATCTAGTATACACCTTAGCAGAGTTAACACCTAATAAATCAGTGAAAGGGATTTGAATGAACCATAAAAGAGATTTGGGATGATAGGTTCACTGAAATGATGAACCAATTTACATTAATAAGAAAATGACTCCTCTAATGTTGACCAGCCGAGACTTCTATGTAAGGTAAGAGCTTTACGTCAAGGTTCATTTCCAACTAAATTGAATTTGATGAAGTTTCCTAGAATAAAACTGGAGATTATTTTTCCATGACTTGGTCGGTGGTCAGTGACGTCTTTCTTAGAAGGCTACTCAGCAATTCTAGTTCACACTAACCTGGATACTAACTTGAAGTTGCTGAACACGGTTATCTTACGTAATATAGTACGTAAGTAATTCTTGAGTGGTTCATATTCAACTTCAACTTATAGATAACACCATCAGCAACATGAGCTGAGATATGATGAGGATGAAGAACCGTATCTTCATTTCACTTCTAATCCCGTTCAGCCTTCTATATCAATTAAATGCCGAACTTAAAGCAAATCCGAGTACAAGTATCGGTGTTGTGAAGGAAATTCAGGTCGGAGTGATTCTCGATATGGGATCATTGGTCGGGAAGGTTGTTAATAGCTGCATTAGCATGGCTATATCTGATTTTTATGCTCTTAACACACACTACACAACAAGGATACTTCTTCACATCAGGGATTCCGAGGGACAACCCCTACGTGCTCTGTCTGCCGGTGAGTTTTTGTTTTACACATCACCATGAGTTTTGATTACTACCATAAGCTTTCTTGTTCTGGATTGTCTGTCATCTTCGTCATTCATTTATTATAAAATCAATTTGGCCTCATATGCATTCAAATTGACTTATGGCTTCTTTTGCCACACAAAAATAAAACCCCTCATTTGACTTGTTTACCATATATTTTTCAAAATTAATAAAGTAAATAATTGCTTTCTTTGCCTCTCTATTGCAGTTGTTGATCTGTTGGAGAATATGAAGGTGCAAGCAATCATAGGCCCAGGAACATCACCTGAAGCAAAGCTCTTGGCTGCATTGGGGGACAAGGCCAAAATTCCTATCCTTTCTTTTACTAGGACTCATCCTACATATCCTAGTTACCTTGTTCAACTTACACAAGATCAAACCCTTGAATTCGATGGTGTTGCTTCCATTGTAGAATCATTTCAATGGAGGAATGTTATCCTTATTTATGAAGAGGGGGAAATCATTTCAAATTTTGCCAATTCGTTCCACGAGAAAAACATTCGTATTGCTTATAAAAGTGAAATTTCTCCATCAACCACTGATGAACAAATCCTCCAAGAGCTCCATAATCTCACGAGTACTCTGCATACAACAATATTTGTTGTGCATGCATCACCTTCTCTAGTGTCACGTCTTTTCTTAAATGTCAAAAGGGTAGGAATGATGAGCGAAGGATATGTTTGGATTATAACTGATAAGACTATGGAACTCTTGCATTCAATGGATTCTTCGGAATTCATTGAGTCAATGCAAGGCGCACTGGGGTTCAAGTCTTATATTCCACCATCAAGCGAGCTCCGCAACTTCACTCTAAGATGGAGAAGGAAGTTTCGTATTGATGAACCAAACATGGAAATGACAGAGTTGAATGTGTTTGGCATACGGGCATATGATGCAATTGGGGCACTAGCAAGGGCAGTGGAGAGGGTAGTGGATAAGATTTCTCAAACCAAAGAACAAAATGCTGCATCGAACATGATGGGCTTAGCCAACATTGGAGCTTCTCAAAGTGGCTCAATAATTCTAAATGAGATATTGCAAATTAGATTTAGGGGTCTAAGTGGTGAGTTTCAATTTATGGACGGGAAACTAATCTCTGGGGCATTTGAAATAGTTAATGTGTTAGGCAAAGGGGAGAGAAGAGTCGGATTTTGGACATCGACCCATGGAATCACCAAAGAAATGTTTCCATCTGTCGGTGAAAAGCATCCGAGATCTTCAAGTACTAGTAGTCTTGAAGCCATTATCTGGCCTGGAGGATCTACAACTACTCCAAAAGGTTGGTTGATGCAAATGAGTGGTAAAAAGCTGAGAATTGGAGTTCCAGTGAAAGTAGGGTTCGAAGATTTGATAAAGGTGCATCGAGATCCTCAAACAAATGCAACAATTGCCACTGGTTTTTGTGTTGATGTATTCCGTGCTGCCATTGATGCCTTACAAGGTGATGTACCTTACGAGTTCATTCCATTTGAGGATTCCAATGGGGAGCGGGCTGGAAACTACAATGATCTTGTATATCAGATCTATCTTCAGGTAGAGTGTATTGAAAATGCATATAGAACAACATCACAAATGAAAGATTCACAAATATTTAGTACACACACATCACACATGCTTACAGCTAGACATGTTTGAAAATTGGTTTATTTGATGTATGTTGCATTTCTGATCAATGGATTAGAATTATGATGCTGCCGTGGGGGATATTACAATAACGGCCAATAGATCTTTATATGCTGACTTTACAATGCCATATACCGACTTGGGTGTTGGAACAATAACAAGGGTTGTTGACAATAAGAACATGTGGATCTTCTTGAAACCACTTGATTCAAATCTATGGCTCACAAGTGCTGCTTTCTTTATCCTAACCGGCTTTGTTGTATGGGTTATTGAGCATCCGATAAATGAAGAATTCCAAGGTTCGGCAGCTCAGCAAATTGGAACGGTCTTCTGGTTCTCCTTCTCAACCCTTGTTTTTGCCCATAGTAAGTTCTTTCTAAACAAAACACCCTAACCTTCCTGAAAAGTAAACAACAAACAATATTAATTAATGGTGTTTGACACTGCAGGAGAAAAGTTGATAAGTAATTTGTCAAGGTTTACAGTGATTGTTTGGGAGTTCGTTGTGCTTATATTGACTTCAAGCTACACTGCAACTTTGACTTCACTCTTGACAGTTCAACAGATTCAATCAGCACCAAAGCGGAATTATATAGGTTTCCAATATGGTTCTTTTGTAGAAGGAGTCACATGGAGCAACCTGAATTTTGCAGACACTAGGCTTATGCAATATTCTTCACCTGATAAATTTGCTCATGCTTTATCAAGGGGATCTAAATATGGTGGTGTCACCGCCATCATTGATGAGATCCCATACATCAAGATCTTCCTCGCAAGATATCCCCGTGACTATGCCATGATTGCATCAGAATCTACCACAAATGGCTTTGGCTTTGTGAGTATATATACAAATTGTTTATGCATCTATATATGCATGATAGAAGTAGGACAACAAACTATCTACACACAAATATCTGAACAATTGAATGCATAACATGCACTTTATATACTTAATTTATTTGGAAGATCTCTTATGACAGCCTTTTCGAAAGGGTTCACCATTGGTTCCTGAGATTGCAAGGGCGATTATGAAACTAAGAGCAGAAGGAAAACTCAAGATGATGGAGGAGGCATGGTTTAAGAGTCGGCAGCCATTTCCAAAGGTCGGGGATTCTAAGGCTAACCCCACCATTCTGAACCTAGATAGTTTTGGTGGTTTATTCCTTATTAGTGGGATCTCTTCAACTTTAGCCCTTGTCATATTCTTGATTAGTCGTGTCAAAAACTATATTAGAAAGTTGCTTCTGGTAATTGGTTTTCATGTTAAAGTACCGCTTTGCTAAAACATGGTATTATGCATTGAAGAAATCAATATTGCAATATAATTATTTTGAACTTCTTCAACTATATATTGCTCCTTAATTTGCTGGCCAGATACTGATCAATGCATTTTATGAACACGTTCTGAATTTTTTTTAGCTAGCGGTGAATTAAAAATAATAAAGGTAATATATATATATATATATATATATATATATATGTATCATGAATTCACGTTTATTTTTCACTGACGATCATCCCATTACAAGTACAAGAATAAAAAAACAAAATTGCAAAAAATATAAGGAACATGAGGTATCAAACAAAGAAAAACAAAAAAAAAAACGCAGTATTTAAATCTACTACTATCTAAAGGAATTCAAATATATTTCCAGAATTACTAGAGAATTGAAAGTACAAATGTTTTAAGAAGAGGGGTAACCTCTTAAGATTGAAAGAGAAGTCCAAAATCCTTTGTATAAATCATACATGATCAAACAAGGTTTACTGAAATCATGAACAAACTCAGAAGACCAGTACTTTGAAAAATTATTTAGACATAAGACTTCTTTTGCATCCACAGGATGCATTCCGGCAGCATTGTCCTTTTACTTTTCAAAAGGGGTACTACCTTGAACTTGCTCGACACGGCTAAAAGTGGAACCCACAAGAAAATGACGACTCCGTTGATCAGCCAAGACTTCTATGTAAGAGCTTTTAAGTCAAATTTCAACCATATTTAAAATTTAACGAAGCTTCCTAGAATAAAACTGGAGATATTTTTCCATGGTTGGCTTAAGGGAACTGTCAACTTGATCAGTGACAGTTGAAGTCATTAGTTCATTTTATGTTCTGGTTTGTGCGTAAGTTCATATTCAACTTCAACGTATGGTTATATATAAGAGCATCAGCAACATGAGGTGAAGACGCTGATTGATTTGAGCACCCATTTGGTCCAGCGGCGAGACGAGGATGAAGAACCATATCTTCATTTCACTCCTGATATCGTTGAGCCATCTCTATCAATTAAATGCAGAACTCGACGCAAATCAGAGTACTAATATCGGTGTTGTGAAGGAATTTCAGGTCGGGGTGATTCTCGATATGGGATTATTGGCTGGGAAGGTTGTTAATAGCTGCATTAGCATGGCAATATCTGATTTTTATGCTCCTAACACACACTACACAACAAGGATACTTCTTCACATCAGGGATTCCAAGGCAGAACCCCCTGCGTGCTTTGTCCGCCGGTGAGTGTTTGTTTTCCATATCACATGCATCTTGATTAAATTCAGTTCAAAAAATCTTGTGTAGAATACACGATGACTTTAGTACAAAAAATTAATTATTCTACAAAAAAAAATCAATAATATATATATTTTTTACTTTGTTTAAATTTTATAAGGGTATATATGAAAGTTTGATTTTAAGTTTATATCTATTTTAGCAAGAGTATATCGACTTTAGCAAGGTATAAATTGAAGATTTAGTAATTTGGAACTTAGATGTAAAAAAATCTCAAAAGTAGGACTCATTGATCATAAAGAATTTTTTTAGGACTTAATTGTATTTTAATGAGAAAAGGAGGACTTGATGATAATTTTTTGAATTATATTTCATTTTTCATAAAGAGTAATGAGGTCGACCTCGTGACACTTGTCATGATTTCTTTGTTTTTTTATTGTGATCATGTACAAATATTGAAATGCGCATCTAATCATTTGAAAGATGATTATAGGTAGATTATACAATCATAATTTTGTACCAAAATTCAATTACAAATAGATCATACGAATCAATCATATAGTATTTTGATCTGTAATTTGTGCATCATTTTTTCTTTCTCCCCAAAATATGCTAATTTTAAAAAGAACACATAACAACTTTCATGAGATCAAACTCATTCTAGCATTACTCTGTTTTGGGATTCTCTTTTCAGAGTAATATTTTTGAACTTGAAGTCAAAGTTCATGCGTGAAAATGGGGGGCTTTTACAATTTACAATAAATAATCTAGAAAATTGCTTCCTTTGCCCAATGCAGCTATTGATCTTTTGGAGAATAACAATGTGCAAGCAATCATGGGTCCAGGAACATCACCTGAAGCGAATCTCTTGGCTGCATTGGGGGACAAGGCCAAAGTTCCTATCCTTTCTTTTACTAGGAGGAGTCCTACATCGTCATCTCTTATGTTGCAGGATTCTATGACTAGCCCCAACATTCTAAACCTCGATAGCTTTCGTGGCTTATTTCTTATTAGTGGGATCTCTTCTGCCTTAGCCCTTGTCATATTCTTGATTGGGCGTGTCAAAAACTACATTAGAAAGCTGTTTCTGGAAAAATTGGTTTTCATGTTAAAGTACCTCTTCGCTGAAAATACTATCATGCATTGAAGAAACCAACGTTGCAAGACAACTATTTTGAAGTTCTTCACCTATTGATCCTTTGTTTGCCAGCTACTGATGGATGCAGTTTATAAACACGTCCAAATACTCTTTTAGCTATGAATTAAAAATAATGATGTCAATATATATATATATATATATATGTATGTATTGAATTCACGATCATATTTCACCGATGATCTCATTACAGGAACAAGAATAAATGCACAAATAAAATTGCAACAAAATAAGAGGAGCATGAGGTGTAAAAAAAAAAAAAAAACGCAATATTTAAATCCACTACCATCTAAAGGAATAAAATTATATTTCCAGAGCTAGTACAAAATTTGGAGTACAAGTGTTTTAAGAACAGGGGTACATTCTCCTATTTTTTATTTATGAAAAATGATAAAAGAATCGAACCAAACAACTGAATAAAAAGTTGAACTTAACGTGGCTCAGCCACGTCAGATTATTTTCTAAAAATATAACTCCTACCTCTTCCCTTCTCTCTCCTCTCTTCCTCTAATTCTTGATTTTTTTTTTTCTGTATTCAATCTTATCTTTGATTTTGGTTGTCTCTTTTTGATTTCATAAAATTGAAGATAAAATAAAAAAAAAAAATTAAATTTCTTCATGTTTTGCAAATATAGAAGCACAAAACCAAAACAGAACAAAAAAGAAAAAGAAAAAGAAAATAAAAGCTACAACTGTTGTTTCTTTCCTTTAGATTTTGTATCTATAAAAATCAAATAGAAACTTTGAGAAGATTCATCCGTTTCTCTTCTCTAGGTTAGTTTATTTATTTGTTTTATTTTTATTATTATTCCGTAAGAGATTAATGTGTTTTATAATGGCGTCTTCTGCATATTTTTCATTTGAGATTGGAAAGATTTATTTTTGGAAGATTTATGAATAAAGAGAAGTAAGCGATCTTGAAAAAGGACCAAGGATAAAGAATTTTGGATCTTGTCTCTAAAATACTTTGGATATGTGTATATATCAAGAAAGGAGATATATAAGAAGAATTGGTGAAACCAGACACGTAACGAAGAGAGAAATGAAGAAGAAGAGAGAGAAAAAGGAAAAAATTGGGTGAGAAAAGATCGATGATAAGGAGTTAAATAATGAAATTATTTGACGTGGACAAAGCCATGTAATATTCGGTATTTATTTCAGTAGAACATATTGGAATAGTATATTCATTTTGTTTTTATGGAATAGGGTTTTTTGTTTCGGGCAGATCTTTTAGAATACTTGACTATCTACTTTGGGCACAATGTAATGGACAATTGGTGTTCACTTCCACAATGTAAACGGACTCCGAAAGTCGTGGGTGGTTACCATGACCCTATTACTATGAAAAATTCTAACAATCAATCGCAGCCGAATCCCTTGATAGTCGTGGGTCGTTACCATTACCCTATTACTATGAAAAATTCTAACACTCAATCGCAGCCGAATCCCTTGATGGCATATTTTTCTCATGTGAATTCATTGCACCCATCTGAAAATTCAGTCAATGTGAATTTCCACATAGGTCCTCAATCTCGGGTTAACCTAATAAATGGTCCTAATCCACTGGGCAGCCCATCATTTAAAGGCCAAGAGTTGGAATAACTCCATCAAATAAATTCACCCTTTCATCATCCTCCGTCCATCAAGTGTAGACCAAGACAAATCTTTGAATAATGCAGTGGTCGCCAGAATTTGTGATTCAATCTGGTTCCGTTGAAAACTACTTGAACCAAATTGGTTGGAAATTTCTTTGCTTGCTTTAGTTTTCTCCCTTGTAGTCATCATCCTTCTATTTCTTTTTATTTCTTCCTCGTGCTTTGAAAAATAAGGAGATAACACTCGTGAAGTCATACGTTACAACCCTTGGTCTTGTAACTTATAATAAACTGTCACTAAAATTATTAATTGTTAGAATAGTTAATACCTTATTAATTGTTTAAATATCGACCCTAAAGTTATTAAAAATAATTATTAATAGTTAATATATCAAAACCAGATGTCTCTCTCGCAAGCGCTCGAAGAGATGTTGAGAAGTATGCCACACTTCATTCCGTCAATTTCACCATTGACCATTCAATTCATTGCTACAATAATAGCCTCACTCATACTATACTTATCCATCTCCCTTATATATTGAAAGTTAATTTGAATTTTCGTGTTGTGGTTGTTATCACTCTCAAGTGGGTGATCTCTATTTCCAGATCACAATACATACATGTATATATACAGATTCTAAAGACTCAATACTTAGTCTTTCACACACCCATAGACAGACCCAATGTATATCTCATAGAACCAGATTATGTGGTCACAGTTTTATTTATTTATAATATATGCCTCAGGCACGAAAAGAAGGCAGACTATTACCAACATCATACAAATTTTACCAGAAGGCCCTGGAGATGACCTTATTAACGTCAACTCACTTTTCACTGTTGCCATATTTGTGGGACAGAGAGGAGTGCCATGGTAGCATTGTCCATGCCAGACGAGCTGAGCCTCAAAGACAGAGAGGAGTGCCATGGCAAAGAAGCTTGTTATCTTTGAAATCATATCTTTCAGTTGTTTCTTCTTCTCGGGCCATCTGGTCAAGTCAGTGAAGGTTGATCTTCAGCTCTACCAAGACAACGGCCCTCTGAAGCATAGCTGAGTCATGCTGCTGTATTTGACAAAAAGTCGAAAGTTTGTCAAAGTTCATGATCACTAGTTAACACGCATGCAAATACGTATTAGAACTAGTTGACATAAAGTTGACGCATTTGCTTGCACATCAACCAGTGAAATGCGTCGACATTAAAATGTTAGCTCAACAGAAATGTAGACTATTAAAAGGTCCATCAACAATTCTACCTTTGAAAATGATTTGAAAATGATATTGAGACACAAGATTTCTGCGAAAGTCTTCCCACAGATGCAATAGCTTTGGTCCGCCCTTCTACCATTGTCTTTCTTTTCATACTAAATACTAACTTGAACTTGCTAGACAATATGCTAACTTAATAATTAGGAGTGTCTTTCATTTAGACTTTATGTAATTAGTTTTTACTTCAACATATGCTTATATATAAGAGCATGAGTATGCTAACTTAATAACTAAGCACTCATTTGCTCCTGCAGAGAGATAAAGCATCTTACTTCATTGCACTTCTAATATTGTTGAGCCATTTCTATCAATTAAATGCAAAACTCTACCCAAATCAAAGTAGTAGTATGGGTGTAGTGAAGGAAATCCAGGTTGGAGTGATTCGCGATATGGGATCATTGGTTGGGAAGATTGTTCATAGCTGCATTACTATGGCAATAGCTGATTTTTATGCTATTGACAGACATTGCAGAACAATGATAGTTCTTCACATAAGGGATTCCAAGGGAGAACCCCTGCCTGCTCTGTCCGCCGGTGAGTTTTTTGTTTTGCATTCCACATCCATCCCATCTTACTTTCGAGATTTTTTAAATCACCAAAATTTTCATTTAAACCCTTGCTAAATACTAGAAGTTTATTCAATAATTGGTATATAATCTATTTATATTCTTTTAAGTTTTAGTTAATAATATTGCATTAAAAGTTTAAATAATAATTAATCTAGTTTAAATTCAATTGAAAAAGCCTTGTGTAGAATACATGACAGATTTTAGTACAAAAAATTAATTATTCTATAAAGTATCAATAAAACGTATTTTTTTCTTTTTATTTAAATTTTATATCTAATTTTGTAAGTGTATATATGAGAGTTTGTGTCTAATTTTATATCTATTTTAGTAAGAGTATATCAAATTAAACAAGATATAAATTGAAGATAAAAGGATTTGGAATTTAAATGGAAAAAAAAAAAAAAATAGGACTTATTTGTTCCAAAGAAAAATTTAAAACTTATTTATCTTTTAATGCGAAAAATAGGACATGAAATGTATATCATTTTTCCATAAACCTGGTATTCTTGTTTCTAAGTGATATTTTTGAACTTGAACTCAGTTAATGCTTGAAAGTGGGGAGTGGGGGGGTTTTACAATGCAGCTATTGATATTTTTGAGAATAACAAGGTGCAAGCAATCATAGGCCCAGGAACATCACCTGAAGCAAATCTCTTGGCTGCATTAGGGGACAAGGGCAAAGTTCCTATCCTTTCTTTTACCAGGAGTCCTACATTGTCAATGGAACATCCTAGTTACCTTGTTCAACTTACACAGGACCAAACCATAGAATTTGATGGCATTGCTTCCATTGTAGAATCATTTCAATGGAGGAATGTCATCCTTATTTATGAGGACGGAGAAATCATTTCAAATTTGGCCGATTCGTTCCAAGAGAAAAATATTCGCATTGCTTATAAGAGTGCAATTTCTCCATCAGCCCCTGATGAACAAATCCTTGTAGAGCTCCACAATCTTACTACTAGTACTCCTCAAACAACAATATTTGTTGTGCATGTTTCACCTTCTCTAGCCTCTCGTCTTTTCCTAAATGTCAAAAGGCTAGGAATGATGAATGAAGGATATGCTTGGATTATAACTGATAAGACTATGGACCTCTTGCATTCAATGGATTCGTCGGTAGTCATTGAGTCTATGCAAGGGGTTCTAGGTTTCAAGTCTCATATTCCACCATCAAGGGAGCTCCAAAACTTCACTCTAAGATGGAGAAGGAAATTTCGTATGGAAAAACCCAATATGGAAATGACGGAGTTGAATGTGTTTGGCATACGGGCATATGATGCAATTTGGGCACTAGCAAGGGCAGTGGAGAAGGAAGTGGATAAGATTTCTCATACTAAAGAACAAAATGATGCACTGAACTTGACAGACTTACCTAACATTGGAGCTTCTCAAAGTGGCTCAATAATTCTAAATGAGTTATTGCAAATAAAATTTAGGGGTCTAAGTGGTGAGTTTCAACTTATGAATGGGAAACTAATGTAATACCCCACATTTCCACGTGTAGGCTGGCCAGGCCCACACCCGAAAACATGGGAATATCAAAACAATATAGTACTTAAACGAACACAGAATATAAAAAATGATTAAATCGCTGAATGGAATTCTATTAATAAAATTAAATCTCTTTTACAAAAATATTTCCATGAGTTTCAAATTCTGGAAATATTATACAACTCGGGAATCCCATAAGTTAAGGACCCCTAAACCAAAATCTTATAAACCACCAGTTTATACAAAACATTTAACAATAATTAACTATACTAATTAAAGGTAAACAAGATGAGTAGATGAATGACAGTCTCCCAGCTGCGGATCCTCAACCTCGAGACTGGAACTTCTAATAACCTGAAAAATAAATCGTGGGTTAGACCCACGAGCAAGTTCCCTCTACCAAGCCTCTGAAAACCAATAAATAAAGCATCTCTAACCAAAATCATCCTAATTAAAATTTTAACCTTTAATATAAGATGATACAAATTTATATAAATAATTATATATAAATACAATAATCCTACCCATTAATAGGTTCACTAAATTTGTTGAAACCAATCACCAACGATTAATTATCAATCATACCTAGACCAAA